TGTTGTGCTCCTCAACAGTGAAACCAAACTGAGTTTCCGAGCAAATATCGAGCTCCACACCCGGTGTGCAAAGCTTCTGACTCAGAGGATACACGCAAGCGAGGCCTTGAATTCCCGGCCCTCTCCTCAGCCTAGTCTGAAGGCATGAAAGGGGCTGCTCCCTTCGACACAAGCAGTGCCATTTCAGACATCAGCAACCAAGACCTGGCAGTGCCCAGCCCCTTTTGCCTGCCCCCTCCTCGGTGCTGCCTTGGTTGCTACCACTGAGTGGTGCAGCGGCATTAATGATCATCCAGATGGACAGAACTGCCTTGGGAAGGAGACAGGCTCTTCCTCCCTAAGAAAGGAGAGCTTCTCGCCCTCTTGTTAAACCCATGACCTCATAGCAAACATCCCCACTTGCAATTTTACTTGGAAAAGGGCAGACGGACATGCCCACACGAAAAGCCCAGGCGAGGCAAGTCTGATAGGTGCCACAGGACGCACGGTGGGTGAGGGAGAGTGCATGTGCATGCGTGCATGTGTGTATGGGGGGGGGGGTCCTCTCCACGGGCAGACCCTCTTCTCCCCATGCGTCCCCTCAATGCCCACCCCCACAGATGGCCTCTGCCAAGCCTGCAGCTGCTTCGAGAGAGAGAATGCCAAGCAACTCACAGCTCCCAACTTGCCCGGCTGAGTCACGCAAGGGGCTCATCAAACCCAGCATCCTGTTTCCAACAGGGGCCAGACCCAAATTTCCAAAGGAAACGAAGGGGTGTGTGGGTGGGGAGCGTGTTGTGTCTTCCCAGCTGCTGCCTCCGCAGTCCTCAGAGTGACTCAGTCGCCCTTCGCACCCCAGGCACGAAGGAAGCCCCTCCCTCCCTCTCCACGATGCTCTCCCTCTTCGCTTTCTGTCACCCGGAACTTTTCCCACCTTGCCCCCCCCATGCTGACCCAGCTCTCGGTAGAGGAGAAGCCACGGCCAGGGAGCAACAGACACAGGGGAAGACCCTCGCTGGACTCCGGCGGGCAGGAGCGTGGAGACCCATCTAGGTAGCAGCACTGTAACAGAGAGAGAGAAGAAAGAAGCAGCCATCCACAAGGGCTGCTGCTGCTGGTTCCATCCTCAGGCTGGGGCCTGCTGGAGACACTGACTGCTGCAATCCTCGGCCCGACCATGATCCGTGGAGAGCCACGAATGGCCTCCCAGACGAACCCTGCTCCCTAACTGGGCAGTGGCCCAAGCAGTACTGGACAGCTGTTTGCCCCCCACCCTGTGCTGACTCTCCTGCTCAAGGAAGCCGGGGAGGGCTGGGGACGCTATTCCCAACACCTTCCGGTGTGTGCTGCCACGTTCATTTCTTAGCTCCCTCCAAGTGAAGAGGAAATGTATTTAGTTATAAAACCGGATTTGCTAGGCCGCCCTTCCCTGTAAGTAGGGCTCAGGGCGGCTCACGACAAAACGATATACAAATTCTGAAGTTAAAATCTAAATTAAAACCAACCAATGAACAACACTAGATAAAAGCGGCCTACATAGGCATTACAAGATGGCGGAAAGAATCTCAGCTCCCCAGCCTCCCTGGGGGGAGGGGTTAGGAGGGATGAGAGGGCCAAAAACAGCCCCGTCGCTGTCCTCAGCCAAAGGCCAAAGTTCCCCCAATATCCTGCTTTGCTCATACTACAGTCTACACTCCCCCCGTCCAGTCCCCCATCTGTGTTCTCCATCTGCCATGGGGAGGAGGGGGAGGAGGAAGAGATTGGATTTATACCCTGCCCTTCACTCGCCGGAGGCACAAGCCCCGTCCGGCCCCTCCGCTCGGCGGTCAAGCGAAGTGACAGGCCCAGCAGCCTCCCAGGGAGGCATGACGGGAAATTCCTGGGCACCGGCTGCCCAGGCAGCTCCAAATATGAGCATGGAGAGAGCGACGGAGAAGCCAGCCAACTCCACGCCTGCCCGGCGGATAGCCGGCCGCTTAGTACGGCCGGAACAATTTCCAGAATGGAGCGGGGGGGGGGGGGGGGGGGGGAGTGCATTTGGGCCCATCTCTTCAGTCGCATGCTTGTGGGAGGAGGAGGATTGGGCCTGGACCCGTGCAAGCAAGTCAAGAGAGGAACACAAAAGAACCACCTAACTCATCTGGCATTAAAGAGAGTGAGTGACCTTCAGCGGCAGGATCACAATGCACTGAGAAGCACACTCCAAGAACACATCCTGGGCAGAGGAAGCAGAAGCGCCCGGACTCCTCTAGAGGAGGAAGAGGGAGAGAGAGACACCCGTTGCCAAAAGGGAGGGAAGGAGGGACGGGGAGGCAGGAACAAAGCCACTGGAAGCTGCTCGGATGTCAACAGGTCCTGAATCAGCGCTCCTCCTTCCCCCCTCAGGGGCCCTGAAATAGGACCAGCTGCCGAGGGAGAGACCTTGGATTCCAGCATGAAAGCCCCGCCGGGTCCCTGGGTTGTGCTCGAGACATTACACAAGCAAACTGCGCTTTCTGCCGCCACACATTTCATTACGCTCCCAATCTTTGTTGCAGACGCAGCACTTCCGCAGCTCCTGCTCCAGACCAGGTGGGCTTCAAGCCTGCAGATGCCCCCCACTGCAGGCCCAGAAGGAGAGGCAGGAGCTCCACAAAGCCCCGCCCTGGTCTCCCCATAGCCCCAGGAGCCGGACCCATTCTACTTGGGCAGCCGATGCACCCCCCTCAAGGCTCATTCTGCCCATGCTCCAGCCAGGCACTGTGCCCCACAGAGCTCTGGTCCCAGAGGAACACAAGGGGATCTGCTCTCCCACTCTTCACCCAGCCATCACCACCACGAAAGTGAGCAGACCCCACCGTCGGCCCCTCCTTTCCCACACGGGGCAAAGTAGCTCTGGGTCACCAAAAGCTACAGGGACCTTCTCTTTGGCAACCTGCAGCCAACGAAGAAACAGGCCCACCCCCACCCACCCCGGTCTTTTCCCACACAACAGCTTTTCCCAGAAATATTGCATTTAAAAGGGACACACAATGTCTAATGCTGTGAAGAAAGGGAGAGTGCGGAACAGAAGAGGGGTGGGGGAAACGGGACCACGTAGAAAGAACACTAAGAAGAAGAAGAAGAGTAGGTTTTTATACCCTGCTCTTCACTACCTGAAGGCGTCTCAGAGCGGCTTACAATTGCCTTCCCTTCCTCTCCCCACAACAGACACCCAGTGAGGTAGGTGGGGCTGAGAGAGCTCTGAGAGAGCTGTGACTGACCCAAGGTCACCCAGCTGGCTGCATGTGGAGGGGGAGTGGGGAATCAAACCCGGTTCTCCAGATTAGAGTCCGCTGCTCTTGACCACTCCACCAAACTGGCCAAGAGTCACCGGAAAGACATGCTAGGAGAAGCGGAAGGCAGCAGGAAAAGAGGAAGACCCAACGTGAGACGGAGGGACACAGCACAGGAAGCCACGAGGGCCCTCCCCTCTCTTTGCAGGACCACCTGGGCAAGGCCGGGGATGTTCTGGGGGTGGTCCATTCATAGGGTTGCCTGAAGCCAGAGAAGGGACTGGGCAGTGCTTCACGCACCAAGATGAAAGGGGCTGGTGGGGGTGGCATTTCCCTGGCCAGGGAGAAGGGAGCCATGAGGTTGGGAGGGGCCGCGGGGAGGACAGGTCAGCATTCTGTTCGCCACTGGTTTGCCGGAAAAGTATTTCCACCTGCTGTTCCCACTCCGTTATCAGGACAGCCAAAGGCAGTTTCTGCCATCTCTTCCTTTTCACATCTCAGATGTCGGCAAAGAGAGCAAACATATTTCATTCTGCAGAACCGATTTTTCACAGGCCTTGCACCACGCCACTGCCCTACCCCACCCAGCAGGTATTTCCTAAAAAGCTGCTTGTGTGAACTCTGTTGAAGAGGAGCAACCAAGTCACAAGGCATCACCTGCCTTGTCAGGTGGGCCTCATCGGCAAACGATGCTCAAGTCCCAGGCAGCCAACCTGGAACAAATCCTGCCCCCCTTGCCTTGAAGCCACAAGCGTTCACGGCCACCTGGCCTCGTCTTTAATTGGTTTTCATCATGCCCAGAGCAGCGTTCGGCGCACATGAAAAATCTCTCCACCGGTTCCCTTTTCTCCCGACTCAACACACCTCCCGGTGCTCAGCACACCTTCCCGGACCACCCTTTATGGTCTGCATCATTTTGCTCGGAACCATCTCCTTGTTGCGAGTGACTTCCAAGAGCAGAGCTCAGAACGTCTCACAGCCACTCTCCTGGCCGTGATGATGTCTGCAGCTCCTGTCTTAAAGCGGCTCTGGCAGCTTTTGCAACACATCAAGGGCTTTGACTGACACTGCCATCCACTGAACCCTCCTCTGCAGCGACGCTCCCACCCAATAACTACCCCCTTCTGCATGCTGAATGTGTGCCTTCCTAAGCGTTTCGCTTGGCTGGAATTTAAGTCCACTGATTGCAACACAATGCTTGAGACCAGGGGGTTTGGGGCCCTTTCCAGACAGCCTCCTCCACCAGAGGGAAGGCAAGCAGTGGTCTTCCTCACACCTCAGATCTGAGGAAAGCCCTCTCGTGACTAGGAGGCAACCTGATGGACTCCTGGCGCCTTGGCCTGGCTTTTTCTTACTTCCCCAACTAGGTTCCCCGGGCCCTGGCACAGGGATGTCTGGTGGCCGCTACCGCCACAAGAGCTCCGGGCACACATCCTCACTCAGCACTCTCACACGTCTGTCCCGCAGACTTCTGTGCCTAAGCAAGAAACCCTCCAAACAAACCAATGCTGACTTGCCCCTCGCAGTCAACCTGTAGTCAGTCAGCAGAGGGGGTTTTTTTGGTTTTTTTTTTTTAAGGCCCACAGCAAAAGGTAGAGGCTGAGTCAGCCAGTTTTGTTTTCTTGGGAAGAAAGGAAGCCAGCCTGGCCCCTCTGCTCAGCTTCTTCCTTTCCCCAGGAGAACTGCAGACTTCCCTTTGCTCAGCATCAGAGAAGCAGGCGGACCAACGTCATCCAGAGAGCGAGAGGGGACAGCAGGGAGCCTTACCTCTTCGTCAGAGCTGTCTTCCTCGTACTCGTTTTCCAAGGCTGGTTCCTGGTCTGCTGATGGGCTCCCCTCCTTATCGCACGACGGAAGCTCCTTGTCCACGGGCTTCCCAGGCTGCAAGATAACAAGACGGTGGGAAGAGTCACCACGCTGCACCAGCACACAACACGCCTTCGCAAACGGTGTGGAAGAGGCAGCAGCAGTACGAGCTGCAGAGCCTGCTTCCTTCAGAGTTCACCTCCAGGAGCAGTTTCTGTGACCCTTCCGCTAAGGGGCAAGGTCTGTGGCTCGAAGGCAGAGCACATGCCTTTCTTTACCGAAAACCCCAAGCTCGGCTCCTGGGATCTTAGGGAGAAGGTGCTGGAAAAGGCCTCCCTCTGCCTGAGAGCCACCGTCAGTCATAGAATCATAGAGCTGGAAGGGACCTCCAGGGTCATCGAGTCCAACCCCCTCTGCACAATGCAGGAAATTCACAAATACCTCCCCCTCCACACGCACCCAGTGGACCCCTGTTCCACACCCAGAAGTAGACAAAAAACCCCTCCAGGATTGCTTCCTGACCCCAAAGTGGCGATCAGAATTTCCCTGGGAGTGTAAGAAAGGGCCACGAGAATTAAGCACTGATGCAACCCTTCCTGCCCTCCCTCTCATGATCTACCTGAGCTCACAGAATCAGCATTGCTGTCAGATGGCCATCTAGCCTCTGCTTGGAAACCTCCAGAGAAGGAGAGCCGGCCACCTCCTGAGGAACCCTGTTCCACTGAGGAAGCGCTCTGTCAGGGAGTTCTTCCTAATATTTAGCCGAAAACCCTTCTGATTTAATTTACACCCATTGGTTCTGGTTCGGCCTTCTGGGGCAACGGAAAACAACTCTGCACCCTCCTCTAGGTGACAGCCCATCAAGTACTTTGCAGATGGCTACCATATCACCTCTCAGTCAAGTTAGATGATGCTGAGCTAGAAGAATGGCAGACCCACAGAGCTTGCTGTGGGCCAGCCACACCGTCTCCGCTTAACCTACCTCGCAAGGTTGTTGGGAGGATAAAATGGAGGACAAGAGAATGACGTGAGCCTCGTATGAGGAGAAAGGCAGGTATAAATAAAATAAAACTGTAAAAGCATAGATCTTGTTGGCCCCCCAGCTTCTCACCAGGCCCTGACCATTGCAGAGAGGTGGGAGTGGTCATGGAATGGGCCACCAAGTCAGAGCCCACTTCTGGCCATCCCGTGGGGTCTTCAAGGCAAGAGACGTTCGGAGGTGGCTTTGCCAATGCCTGCCTCGGTGCAGCGACCCTGGGCTTCCTCGGGGTGGTCTCCCATCCCAAAGACTGACTAGGGCTGACCCCGCTTAGCCTCCCAGGTCTGAGGAGTTCAGGCTGGCCTGGGCCATCCGAGTGGGGGCTCGATGCTCGTGTCTCCCTCTCACCTCAGTGACAGCCCACTCCCATGATCAACAGTGGCACAGCAAAGGGGCCCACCAGTGGTCTCAGCAAAGGACAGAGTCCGCACAGACAGGGCAAGTGCAAACCACCACCACCACCCTTGATTTCGTGAGCTAATGACAGGAATTTATTTATTTATTTACATTTCTTAACCGCCCTTCCCCGCTTACACGGGGCTCAGGGTGGTTACAACAACATAAAATCTAATCCAGCCTGTGCTTAGGCTACTGCACTGGCTGCCGATAGCATATCGAATCCGCTTCAAGGTGCTGGTACTTACCTTTAAAGCCCTACATGGCCAGGGTCCGGCTTACCTGAGGGACCGCCTTTCCCCATTTATACCCCAGAGAGCACTACGGTCCGTTTTACTATTCCAGCCCCCAAGGACGTGAGGCTCGCCGTCACCAGGGCCAGGGCGTTTTCGGTGGCGGCTCCTACCTGGTGGAACGAGCTCCCGGAGGAGATCAGGCCCCTGCGGGACCTTGTACAATTCCACAGGGCCTGCAAAACGGAGCTCTTCCGCCCGGCTTTCAAATAGGAGCCGCCGCCACCACTGTTACCATCAACTATTCCATTGAACATCAGGAATATGGAACTGGCCCACTATGGACTATGCCATTAATATCTGGACCATAGGACTAGCTGTAAGATCAGAAGGTTGCCGGAATGAAAAATTGACGCCATCTATCTTAATACTGCGAGCACCTTAATGTATTGTTGTAGTGTTAAGAATATTTTATATTGCTTTTATTTTTTATGGTTTCATGCTAATTCGGCACACTCTGCCATCTTTTGTATGCCGCCCAGAGCCTGTTGACAGTGTGGGCGGGGTATAAATATAAGTATAAATATAAATAAAAAAAATAAAAATAAAGCCAGTTAAAGCTACAAATTCAATATTAAAACATTCAGCATAAATATTTAAACAGATGGCATGTTTAGCATTCAGATTTTTTTTTGGGGGGGGGGTTGGGGGGGGGCCGGGCAGATGTCAGGGAACCGTCGCTGGCCTCAACCAAAGGCCTGGCGGAACATCTCTGACTTACACGCCCTGCGGAACTTTAATAGGTCAGGCAGGGCACGGATGTCGTCCGGCAGAGAGTTCCACCAGGCTGGGGCCAAGGCTGAGAAGGCCCTGCCCCTGGCTGAGGCCAGCCGGATACCTTTGGGGCCGGGAATCACCAGGAGGTTCTGATCTGCTGATCTCAGTGCCCTTCGGGGGACATATCGGACATATTCCTCCAAGGCTGGATGCAAAAGCAAAGCGTCAAGACTGAGGCAGCCTTCAGACTAGGAGAGTCCCCGTGCAAAGCTCGAGCATGCCCAGAAGAGGGCAACCAGGATGGTGAGAGGGTTGGAATCCAAGTCTTACGAGGAAAGGCTGAAAGGGTTGGGTCTGTTTAGCCTGGGAAAGAGAAGGCTTAGAGGGGACACGACTGCAGTCTTCAGATATCTGAAGGGCTCTCATGTAGAAGATGGAGCGGATCTCTTCTCTCTTGCTCCGGATTGCTAGACTAGATCTAATGGGTGGGAATGACAAGGGAGTCGTTACCGGCTAAATATCAGGAGAAACTTCCTAACTGTCAGAGGGGTTGAGCAGTGGAACAGACTGCCTCGGGAGATGGTGGATGCTCCTTCGCTGGACGTCTTCAAGCGGAGGCTGGACGACCATCTTTCGGGTATGTTGTGGGGCTATTATCTTTTGGCCGTGCTCCTGCAGAGTGCAGGGGGTTGGACTAGGTGACCTGCAACGTCCCTTCCGACTCTAACACTCTATGATTCTATGAAACCTTACAAATTATCTGGTGAACAAAAACTGTTCTTGGAAACTGACCTCCTCCCACCCCCCCTAAAATGGTACGGTTTTCTCTTTGACACAAGCAACCTGTTCGCTAGGTGGCACCATGCCTGATTGTCCCTTACTGTGAATGGCAGGTCACCTGGTGTACGGTGGGATCTGCCCAACCCACAACCAGTGTACGTATCAGCTCAAGGCAGGGTCTCTTCTGTGACAACCCCAGTCCTGCAGAACAGGCGGCACCATCTCTGTCAAATGGAGCTGCTCAAGACTTCTTGTTCATCTGCAAGTGTTATTTTTGGCTCACTGGTCTGAGTTTATGGCTGTTTGGTTTGTTTTCATAGGAAGCTGCTTTGAGCCGGCAGGAAAAGCAATTTAAAATAAATAAATAAAACACCCAGAGGATGAGCTACAATTTGGGCTAATTGTATGCAGCCTCCCTTCTCAGGCCCAAAAGCCTCTCTTGCGGGCCACGTGAGGCACGCAACCCTCTCCACGGCAGCCCACAAGCCAGCCCTGCTCATGCACCAAACGGTGCAGAGAAGAGGCGTTTTTATTCTTTCCTCATAACACTACAATGAAACGGAGGTGCAGTGAATTCAGAACAGACTGAAGTCACCGCCACGAGATGTGGCATTCACTGTGGCCAGGTCATCATGGTCGAGGAAGGGGACCAACTGCTGCGCCAGCCGAAGATGGTAAAAGGCCGACTTGGCAGTGGCTGCCACCTGGGCTTCCATCGTTAGAGAGGAGTCCAGGAGCACACCCAGACTCCTAACCTCCGACGCTGGCACTAGAGGCGCCCCATCGAAGGTCAGGAGAGGGAGCCCCAACCCCAGACCGCCCCGACTCAGACCCAGGACCTCCGTCTTTGCCGGGTTTAGTTTCAGCTGACTCAGCCTGAGCCAACCAGCCACGGCCTGTAACGCCCGGTGAAGGTCAACTGGGGTGGAGTCCGACCAGCCGCCCAACATCAGATATAGCTGGGTGTCATCTGCATATTGATGACACCCAAGCCCACAACTCCGGGCAATCTGGGCAAGGGGGCGCATGTAGATGTTAAACAACATTGGGAATAGCACCGCCCCTTGAGGTACCCCACATTCAAGAGGCCATCTCCAGGACCGCTGATCCCCTATCGCCACCCTCTGTCCCCGACCTTGGAGAAAAGAGGCAAACCATTGAAGGGCAAGCCCCTGAATCCCCACGTCAGCGAGGCGGTGGGCTAGCAACTGGTGGTCGACCGTATCGAACATGGCCGACAGATCTAACAACAGTCTATACCTTGTGGCTAATAGCCACTGATGGACCTCTGCTCCATATGCTTATCTAATTCCCTTTTGAAGCCGTCCATGCTTGTAGCACCCACCACTTCCTGTGGCAGTGAATTCCATGTGTTAATCACTCTTTGGGTGAAGAAGTACTTCCTTTTATCCGTTCTAACCCGACCGCTCTGCAGTTTCATGGAGTGCCCACGAGTTCTTGTATTGTGAGAAAGGGAGAAAAGTACCTCTTTCTTTACCTGCTCTTTCCCATGCATAATCTTATAAACCTCGATCATGTCACCCCTCAGTCGTCTTTTCTCCAAGCTAAAGAGCCCTAAGCGCTTTAACCTTTCCTCATAGGGAAAGTGTTCCAACCCTTTTATCATTCGAGTTGCCCTTTTCTGCACTTTTTCCAAAGCTATAATATCCTTTTTAAGGTGTGGTGCCCAGAACTGCACACAGTATTCCAAATGAGGTCTCACCATTGATTTATATAGGGGCATTATTATATTGGCTGATCTGTTTTCAATACCCTTCCTAATAATCCCCAGCATAGCATTGGCCTTCTTTATTGCAGTCACACACTGTCTCGACATTTTCAGTGAGTTA